AGCAGAAAGGGGGCGTACGAATGAAGAAGAAGCCAACGATACCGGTGAGGATGCCAATGAACAGGTTCCGGACCGGAGGGTCGGGCTCGTTGGCCATCATCGTTGAGCCGGGGTGAAGGCGTGCAGGTGTGGGCCCGAGTGGCGTGTGCGAGTGGGCAGCGATGTGGTGGGCAGTGGGCGACGGCCGGTGGGCGGCGGTGGGCAGCGGGGAACGGGCGTGGCGGGGGCTGGTGGTGCCCCCTCTTCCCCTGACCCGACCACGGCCACAACCACCTCACCGGCCGACCCCACGCCTCACCCGTCCCCCCCCCCCTCTTCCATCCGTACCATACGCCAAAGACACGCACACACACAGACACACACAGACACACACACACACACACACACATACACACATACACGCTCACACACGCGCACACACACACACACATACACACACACGCCATGGCGGTAAACTTTGCCAACGACCTCCTGGTACGTGACCCCCCCCTTGTCGACCCTCCCTCCTCCCCAGCACACATACAGACTCACCCTCCATACACATGATGCCCTTGATGGTGGGGTGTGGGTGTGGGTGTGGGTGTGGGTGGGTGCGCACAGGACCAGTTCCAGCCGCTGGCAGCCCATGCCGAGGCCGTCCACGAGCTGACCTCGCGGGCGGCGGCGTTTCTGCGGAAGAGGGCAGCCATCGAGGAGGAGTACGCCCGCAAGCTGCTGAAGCTGGCAGAGGCCGAGAGCAAGAAGATCGCAGACTCGGTCCTGGGCGTTCCGCTCAAGACAGTCAAGGTCTTTGACGTCATGGTCCAGGACACGCGCCGCCAGGCTGTCCAGGCCGAGTCGCTGGCTGGCCGCCTCGTCTCGCAGGTCGCCAAGCCGCTCTCCAACCTCAAGAAGAAGCTCAAGGCCTCGCGTGTCGTGGTGGTGGCAGACACTGCTGCAGAGCGGAAGCGCACGGAGGACATCGGGAGTCAAATGATGAAGGAGCGTGATCGGTACCACGAGGCCTGCCGCCTGGCATTTACCGACATGTCCACCTACCGCAAGTCGGCGTCGGATCCCAACATCAAGCCGTCAGCCTCGATGAAGCAGGGCGACCGCATGAAAAAGTCCAAGGACGCGGCCCGCAAGCAGGAGATGGAGTACCGTGACGCGCTTGCCAGGTTCAACGATGTCCAGCGCCGGTTCTGGGTCGACACCCTCCCGTTTGCGCTCGAGCAGATGCAGCTGCTCGAGGAGGAGCGCATCAACGAGACTGACTCGATCTACGACAAGTACCTGGATCTTGTCGCCGAGGCCCGAGACTCGCTCACCGTCCACCACGAGGCAGTTGCCGCCGTCCACACTCCAAATCCGCCGCCGGCCCACTCCGAGCTGGAGGACATTGCCTGCCGACTGGCCACCGGCAACTCGCGCCCGTCGGACATTGAGTTTTGCGAGGGTGTCAACTACCAGGACCGTGACCCGTCGGCGGCAGCGTCGCCGAGCAGACTCCGCGGGGCCACCGTGTCGTCGTCGTCGGAACCGGGCTCGGGCGGCTCGGCCGCCGCCGCCGCCGCTGCCGCAGGAGCTGTTGTCGTTGGCGGCGGCCTTGCTGTCGCCGTCGCCGCAGGCGGGACCCAGACCCGATCCACGCGTGCGCTTACCGCCACCGGTGTCAGCTCGGCTCCCCAGGGCTCGGCACGCAACACACCGCGCTCACTCACCCTCGACCAGTACATCGCCTCCTGCCGCGACGACCTGGGCTCTGACGAGCTCGCCCGCCGCTCCGGCGACATCTCAACCAAGCTGGCGCTGTTTGCCATGCTGCACGAGTTGTGGAGACCATCATAAACCGTGAACCTGTTGTTGATACTGGCTGCTCGCTACCCCCTCCCCTGCATGATCCGGCTCCGGCCATGTCTCCGGCTCGGAGCACCTCTCTTGCCCCGCGGCCATGTCGTCACCTCAAGCCGACTACTCGCACACAGCAGACAGCCCACGAAGGGCCCGAAGGCATCGCCGCAGCGAGCGCCGCATGTTGTTTTCGTCGCCGAGTGCTGTGCGAGGTACGTGTTATTGTTGTGCGTGGGTGTGGTGTGTGTGGGTGGGGGGGGGGGGGAAGGGGAGGAAGGGGTGGGTGCGCGCCAAGCGGCGGCGACGGACTCATGGTGATTGATGTGAACGCATGATGGACTGCGGGGCGCAACGACGCAACGACGCAACGACGCAACGACGCACCAATGTAACGACACAACTTTGTAACGAACGGGATGTGGTACGGGATGTGGTACGGGGGGGGGGAGGGGGGTAGGTCGTGGCGCAAGCGTCAAACCCAATGTCGAGCTTCTTAACGAGGAGCTGGCGGTCGAGACCGAGCTGGAGACCGCCACAGAGGCATCGTTTGTGGCGCTTGTTGACAGCCTCCGCAACGAAGCTGACGTGGTGGCTGCCGATGCGTGGCGATTCGAGCATGTCGCGCTCCCGTTCTGATGCTGGCATGTCGTTGCCTTCTGTTTACCGGCACCGCGGCCACTTCACCTCGTCCCAACATCGATCACAGCAGCCAGACTACGCCTTGGCCGCGCCCATGAGCTGCGAGAATTGCTCCAGCGAGAGCGAGCCGCCAGGCGCCACATCGATGTCCTTGATCAGCTCGCCAAACTCCTTGTCGGACAGCGGCTGGCCAAAGGCCGCCAGCAGCTCGCGCAGCCGATCCAGCGGCAGGCCGTCAGCATCTCCCTTGAACACTACGCCGCCGCCCATCGCCGCACCCATACCCAAGCAAATACGCGTGAGTCGCCCCATCATCACCTCCCGCGTCCCCCTCCTCCCTCTCCCCTCGGCCCGGCCGTACCTCCGTATGCGTCGCGCAGCATGTCCTCGGGCTCCTTATCGGCCAGAGCATCACCCATCATGCCCATGAACGAGTCAAAGTCGATGGCGTCTGCCTCTGCCGAGCCTGTGGCCTCTGCCACCATGAGCGAGAGCTCCTCGTCGGTGGCACTCTGTCCCAGCTTGTCCAGCATGCCCGCCACCTCGTCCTTGCTCACCCGCCCGTCCCCGTCGGTATCCACCAGCCGGAACGTTGTTCGGAACTGCGCCATGCTCTTTGCCTCCTGCTCTCCACGAGTTGAGTGCTCTGTCTTTGTCCCCGTCCCCCTCCCCGGCCCCCTCCCGGCCCGTACGTCCTTCGCGGGAACATGCCATGCCACTCGCCCCTTTACACACTCCCAGACGACCAATGGGCACACACCGGCCGCAGCCGTGCGATTCCACCGATACACATGGATGACACTTCCATCGCACTGATATCGGCACGCACGGGTCGACATCCTTACAGACTGCCTACCCCTACCCCCCCCTCCCCTAGCTGCAGCAGCTGAGCCCTCTCCCTCGCCCTTCAACACACCACTTCACATCATGCTGCGCATCGCTGGACAGCGCGTGGCTGGCCAAGCGACCACGGCGGCTTCTGCTTGGGTGGCTCGTACATGTAGGGCGAGTGGAGGCAGTGGAGGCGTACGGGCGAGCTCGAGCTCGAGCGAGAGTGAGAGCGGGCGCGATGTCAAACCCAAGACGGTGCTGGTGACCACTCGCGAGGGCATCAAGGGCCGGGTCATCGAGGAGGAACTGGGCATTGTGTGCGCAACCGCGACCAAGACCCGCTCGTTTGTGGTCGATCTGGCTGCCAAGTTCCGCGGCCTCTTTGGTGGTGAGATCAAGGGCTACTCGTGGCTGATCAACGACGCCACCCAGGAGGCCATGCTCCGCCTCCGCATTGCTGCCGTCGACATGTCCGCCACTTCGGTTCGCAATGTTCGCATTGAGGTGGCCACCACCGCTGATCGGCCCTTTGGCCTCTACGCCTCGGTCTCGGTCTACGGCACTGCCGTCCGATGCGAGTCGGCCGACCGATCGCCTACCTCGCGGATCCTCGCCCAGGGCGAGCGCAACATCGTCCACCTTGACAAGGGTAGCGAGCCCGACTTTGCCGTCTCTTCATCCTGATCATACTGCCGTGCTCGTACGGGTCGGTGGCCAATAGCCTCCCGCCGCACACCCTCGGACCCTCGCACCCCCCGCACCACCCCACCAGACCACATCCACACCCACAACCCCTTCAACACGCCACTTCTCTCAATACATCCTCCCCCACCCCACCCCACCCCACCCACACAACCCTCGCACCCCCCCCCCCCCCACTCCCTCCCCCCCCCTCTTTCACATCCCTCGTGACTTGTGATACTCTAGTCCTTCACGAATGGTACGCCCCAATTTGACGACTTTTCCCTGCGATCAGGCCAACCTCCCCAGCCCCTGATCACACGCACCCTCACCTACGCCCCCCCTCCCACCTCCTCCACACCCAGGTCTGAGTCTCGTGCTACATGGCGGCCTTTGCCGTCGTAGCCCAGATTGTGCATGCTGTCTTCCGCTGGATCACCGGCCAGACAAAACCCTCCAAGGACACATCGTCGCTGCAGGACGTCACCATGTCGTGTCCCTTTGGTGGCACGGCCTCGTTATCGCCGCCGAGCTCCCCAAAGTCAGCGTCCTTCCCCTCTGCCCCGCCGTCTGCGGCTGCATCGTGTCCGGTCTCAGGCGCTACTGTCCCAGCCACCGTTGCTCCGGTTGCCCCGTCATAGCATCGGGCCACGCCTCGTCGCGCTCCTTATCAACTGGCTCTCGCTCAAACCCCAAGTGTGTTATCCATGACGCGGTCCGCGCTCAAGTCTGCCCCTCTGATCCAAGGGTGGGACGCGTGCTCCGCCGAGCCCCTCTCTGCTGCTGACACCGCCAGGCATTCCTTGCATGCCTGCCTGAGCGGTCGCGCAGAGCTTCCAACACACAGCCACCGTCGAGATAGCCCGGTCCTCTGCGCAATGAACATACCAGAGGCTTCGACGCCGTCCTCACCCGCCGCCGGCTCCGCGCTTGGCCGCCAGCTGGGCCTCTAACTGCGCAAACGCGCTCATGGACGCCACTTGCTGCGCATCCACTGCGTCTGCCTCGGCACCTGTGGAACGGTCGCTGCCGTCGAGCGCGTCACTCGCCTTGGCCGCCGCCGCGCTCTCGGCCCGCGCCGCCATCTCCACCTGGTACTCGTTGAGCTCCTTAAAGTACTCGATCCACACACAGTCGACGCATCCCGAGCCGCAGCAGTTGAGCGGCTCGCTCGGCGGGAGGAGGACATCGACATCATGCCCGCCGTCGCCGCCGTCACCACCGTCGCCACCGCCGGCAACGCCGCTCCCCGACACCGCCCGCATCGCCGACCACTTCACGCCGCGTGCTGCCTGGACGAGCCTCCGCCCCACGCCGACTCGCAGCATCGTGACCCAAGCCGCAACCGGTCTCCGCCCGTAACGAGCTGTGAGAGAAGTGGCCGTGGGCGGCGGTATGCGATCGCCTACGCCCTGGCTCCGCCTCGGACCCTCGGCCGCTGCCGCCCTCCGCACCGCGCCGCAAGCCGCGCCGGCCCCTCACGCCGACGCCCACTTTGTGGTCACAGCACCCACACCTGTCGAGGCCCCGCGCCTTGCCGCACTCTCGCTTCCGGCCTGGCGCGCTGCGGGCGTCGAGCTGCCCGACGATCCGGCGTCGTCACCCGACGTCGTCGACGTTCTCGCCGGCAACTCACTCCCGCCTGGCGCCAGCCCGGTCGCTCACGTCTATGCCGGCCATCAGTTTGGATCATTCTCTGGCCAACTTGGCGATGGCGCTGCCATGCTCCTCGGCACCATTGCCGGTGACGAGAGGCCCCCGATGGAACTGCAGCTCAAGGGCGCCGGCCTCACCCCGTGCTCACGGTCGGGAGACGGGCGCAAGGTTCTGCGGTCGTCGCTCCGCGAGATGGTCGCGTCCGAGGCCATGGCCGCCCTTTGCGTGCCCACCACTCGTTCGGGCTCGCTTGTTATCTCTGACACGACTGTAGTCCGCGACATCAACTACGACGGACGCCCCGCAGCCGAGCCAGCCGCGGTCATCACCCGACTGGCGCCGTCGTTCTTCCGCTTTGGCTCGTTTGAGCTCTGCCTCCCGCCTGATCCGCGCACCCTCCGCAGTGGGCCATCGCATCGCTCGCCGCACATTCTCACCGAGCTCTTCGACTATGTGGTCGAAACCCACTTTGCCGAGTTGGCGGTGCATGAGACCTCCCGCGCCGCCCGAGTCGCCGCCTGGCTCGACCACGTCGCCGCATCAACCGGTGCGCTCGTCGCCCACTGGCAGGCACTCGGCTTTTGCCACGGCGTCCTCAACACTGACAACATGTCCATCCACGGCATTACCCTCGACTATGGCCCGTTTGCCTTTATGGGCGCCTACGATCCCGAGTATGCCTGCAACGCGTCGGATCCCACCGGGCGCTACTCCTACGCCGCCCAGCCTGAGGTCTGCGCCTGGAACTGCATCCGCCTCGCCAACGCCCTCGATCCGCTGCTCCCCGCCGACAACGGCGAGGATATTGTAAGCAATGCTTTCGAGTCCGCGTACAGCGAGACGCTCGCCTCGCTTGCCCGCCGCAAACTCGGCCTCGCGCCGACCGCGCCGCAGCAGGTCGCCCTGGATGCCTTTGAGTCCCTTCGCGCCACCATGGCAGCCACCGCCGCCGACTACACTGCCACTTTCCGCGCACTTGGTGCCACGTACCGTGCTCCCAACGAGCTAGCGGCGCACCTGGCGGAAACAACCTGTGCCTCCCGCGAGTTTCTTCTCGACCGCGACGCGCCGACCGTGCCGTCGCACCAGCTCGATGCCCTCCTCGCCTTGCCCAACGTCCAGCTTCCGCCGGGGCTGCTCAACGCCGAGCTCCGCAAGCGTGAGCGGCGCAAACTCTACGCCGAAGCCTACGCCACTGACGACGACAAAGCCAAGAACGATGAAAGGGTCTGGTACGACTTCCTTACCAACACGCTCGCGCCGCTGGTGGCGGAGCACGGGCTGGGCGATCCGGCCGCCCGAATGCTCGCCATGAACGCTGCCAATCCGTGGATTGTCCCGCACAACTGGATGCTTGAGGCCGCCATCCGTGCTCTCGAGGATAACTCGGACACAGCCCCGCTCGAAGCACTCCTCGGCCTCGACTACTTTGTCGAGAGCGACGAGCACCGCCAAGCGTGCGTCGCTAGCCTCGGCCTCGCCGACTCGGGCCGGCTGCGCCACCTCGACACAGTCCCGCCGCGGCTCTCATGATCCTCGTAGATCGATGTCTTTCTCGTCTTTTAAGCATGCGGCTGATGCCAGCTGAGCTTACGCCTTGCTTTGCCTGCTGCCCTGACGGCACGAGGGCCCAACCATGCCGGCGCTGCCGGCGTGGCGCCTTTGCGCTCGAGCAACTCGACTTACTTTTGCAGGCACACATGTGAGCTTGCGCGTAGATTTTACTTGAACACGGAAAAGAGACAAGCCAAGCCAGACGCGATCAGCGGCGTGCCTTTTCGTGCTTGACTGCGCTTAGGGCGGCGGCGAGGGCGGCCTCGGCCTTGGCCAGCTCGCCGTCGGAGAGGAGCGCAGTTTGTGCGGTGGAGACTTTGGCGAGGGCAGCGATCGAGTCGTCGGTGAGAGCTGGGGCCGACGGCGCGGCATCGTCGTCATCCTTGGACGCTGCCGTCGAGTGGCGGAGCGACATAAACTTGTCCATGGTCTTGACGAGGCCCGAGGTCTTTGTGGAGAGGATGGCCTTCTTGGTCTCCTGGTTCTCGCAGTGAACTTTGACCTTGTCGCGCATGTCCGGAAAGTCATTAAAGGCTTGCAGGAGAACGTTGCGATGAACACGAGCAACCTCGGTCTTGTCAAGGGTGACGACGTCGGCGGAGATGGGTTCGCGGCCGGTGCCAAACGAGAGCTCGCCAAACGACTCGTGCTTCTCAAAGAGGGCGCCGGCGGCAGAGCCCGAAGTGAAGCGGACCGAGCCGCGGGTGAGAAAGTAGAGGTGCAGGTCCGACTCGACCGAGGTGACGACGTGCTCGCCCTTGGCAAACTCGAGGACTTCGGCCGACTCGACAAGCAGGTCAAGGAAAGCATCGTCGGCGCCGTCGAACATGGGGAGGAGGCCGAGGAACTCGCGCATCTCGCGGAGGGCAATGGCACGGAAGCCGGCCTGCACAATGTCGTACACGTAGTGGAGGACGTCCGAGGCGACGTCCTTGGTGGTGACGGACGACGAGACACGGCGCCACTGGTCGAGCGAGGCCGTGAGGTCGTCGCGGAGGTAGTCCGAGTTGAGGCCCGAGAGCAGGCGGTTGATGGCGACCTCGACGTGGCGGCGCGACGAGTTCCATGCCGTCACCTGGGCCGGGATGAGGTTGTTGGAAAAGGCCTTGCCAAAAATGTCCTCAAAGGTTGACTCGACACGGTCGAGGTCTGAGCGGAAAGGCGCCAGATCAATGTCCTGCAGCCGCTCGGCGAGGCTCTGCTTCTGCTGCGACGCCTCGATCCGCTGCAGCCGCTCCATAGCGACCTTGTGGAAGTGCTGCTTGAGGTGCGGGTACTTGGTGAGCGCGTCCTCGAGGACCGAAGCGTCGAGCTCGTACGTCGTGACGTAGTTGCGTGCCCGGATCGAGGCCGTGCGCGGCCGCTTGAGGAGGACGGCAATCTCGCCAAAGAACGAGCCCTCCTTGAGGTTGGCCACGCACGCGCCCGACTCGAGGAGGACGTCGACGGCGCCCTTGGTGACAAAGAACATCGACGATCCGGGGTCGCCGCACCGCATGATAAACTTGCCTGGTGGGTGGACCTGCTCGCGCATTTTGCGGATGAGAAGCGTAAAGAACGCGCCCTGCGAGACACCGCCAAACATGGGAACCTTGGCCATGACCTCGGCGAGGTCGACCTTGACAGAGAACTTGACACCCTCCTCGAGAGCGAGGTCGACGGTGTCCTCCAGCGTCATGAGCGTGGCGGTGAGCTCCTCGGCCATAGCCTTGTCGCCCGGGTTCCGCGCGAGATGCGCGGTCTGGCTCTCGAGCTCATCGGTGAGCGAAGCGATGCGCGACGCGAGGTCCTGCAGCTGGACCCGCTTGTCGTCCTGGAGGTTGGTCTCCATGAGGTCGCGCAGGAGCTTGGAAATGCGTTTGAGCACGTCCTTGGCGAGCATTGACGCCGCGCGCATCTTGAACACGTCGCCGAGGCCCTCCTTGACCTTGGCGAGCACAATGGTGACGTCCTTGGACGCGTCGCGCATCTTCTGGCGGTAGGTCTTTTCGGCGACGCTGCCGTCAGGCTTGGCTGGCGGCATGGGCTCAGGCTCGCGCATGGGCTCGGGCTCGGGGGTGCTGACGGAGGCAGCCGTTGCCATCCACTCGCGTGGTGTCTGAGTCTCGACTTGGATCGATTCCTTGGTCAGCTTGGCCATGAGCTCGGCGAGCTGTGAGTCCTTCGAGTCCGAGTCCGATGCGGCGGCGTTCAGTGCGGCCTGGAGCTCAGACTCCTTCGCCGCCGCGTCTCCGAGCTGCGAGCGCAGGCCACGGACCTCGTCCTCAAGACGGCGATTCTCGCGGCGGAGGGACTTGCGGTCTGAGACGACGCTGTCAAGCCTGGCCTTGAGCGCGACAATCTCGGCCTCGAGCTTGCTCACCAGCTCCTCGTAGTCGGTGGTGGGCTCGGTCTGGCACGGGATCTCAACGGTCCGCGTTCGGCGCTTGACCTGGACACCCTTGGACCGGAAGCGACCGTCGCCGCCGAGCGAGAGGAACTCGGACTTTGAGCCACAGTACGGACAGGTCTTGGTGCGGCGAATGGGGACGGCAGCAGGCTTACTGGGCGAGCGGGAGGCTGGTGCAGCGGTGGGGACGAGGAACGACTGCGCACGGAACGGAACCGGGCGCGAGGGCACGCGAGCACCGCGGGTAGTCGACGTGGTGACAGCCGATGACGAGACGCTCGTCGAGCCGTCGTCACTCAGCGTGTCGGTGCCAACAGCGGCGCCGCGGACAAACGACCGAGATTGCATGATGGGCATGGGCGAGGGCGGCGTGAGCAACGTCGACTTGTCAAACTTGTTGATCTGCGGCACAAACGAGCACTCTTGCACTTCGGCGGCGGCAGCAGCAGCAGCCTTGGCCTCGCGGGCAGCCTGCTTCTTGGTCTCGGCCTCGCGGTGCCACTCGTACGTCCGCTCCACAAGGGGGGCGCTGGGTGAGACGGCCTCAGACTTTTTGTTGATAGCCGGTTCAAAGGGACACTCGGCGGCGAGAGCCTCGACTTGGGCCTGCTCAGCCGCCTTGCGCCGCTTCTTCAGGTCGAGCGCGTTTTGGTACAGATCGCGGCGCGAGTGGCGGTCACGGTCACGGACGTTGGTAGCCGGGTGAAACGTGAGCTCGGCGTCATGGTCGTGGTGGCAGCGGCCGTGGGTGTTGTGGTACCGCCGCCGCGACTCCTCCTCGGGCACCTTAGGCATCCGCCGCGAGCGCTCGTTGAGCTCGGGCTCGAACGAGTGATCATGGGTACATCCAAGGTGCGATGCGGCATAAATCGAGATGTCCCCGGCCTGCAGCGCCTTGGACGCGTTGGTCTTGGCCTCCTCGCCGCGGCCAGAGCCCAAGCCCGAGCCCGAGCCTGCGCCAGGCTCGCGCGAGTGGGCGTGTGCGCCCAGATCAACAACTTCGGCCAAAAATTGCGACTCGGCCTTTGGCCGCCGCCGCCGCCGCTTCTTCCTCTTTGCTCCTGCGCCAGCCGTATTCCCGCCCGGCGCAGCCGCTGCTGCTGCCGCTGACGTGCCCTCTAGCGCTGAGAGCGTCGTTCGCGATGGCAGCGCGCCGCCCTCGGAGCCCGAGGTGCTCTTGGTTGCCGATGCCGACACGACAGGAAGAGCCGAGACCAACGGGTCCAGCACCGCCGAGTTGCGTCGCAGCCACTGGGCGGAACGCTGCTGTGCAGCCACTGCCGAACCTCTCCTCCCAGACCGTGGCATGGGGAGGTGTGCGTGGAGGAGGGGGAGGGGGGGAGTGGGGTGGTGGACTTGAGGCTGCGGCTGCGGCTGGCGGTGGTGCTGGTGCACAAGTGGCGGAGAGCCAATTCGTCAGTTGGCAAGGTTCCCCCCTCCTGCCGGCCACACGTGAATTATGGTTCAATCCCGGCGGGATGTGTAATTTTTACTATTGTGTACCGGGAAACAGTGGGTGCCGGGTCGTGGTGGTGGGTGAGACGGCTGCCGAGTCGCAGCGAGGCAACACTGCGGCGGGGACGAGTCGGTCGGGGTCGGGGGCGGGGGTGGGGCCAACACACCTCTCTACCGTGTGAACCATGAATGGGGTTAGCGAGGAGGTGCCTCCTCCACAGGCCGGGAGCGAGCAGGCCGGGCTGGGGGCTACACGCGAGCTGGCTGGGCCTGCGGCCGCGGACGAGCAGCATGCCGCGGTCGGGCAGGAGGCAGAAGTCCAGCCGATGGTGACAGAGGAAGCTCAGGAGAGCCCCGCTGCAGAGGCAGACAAGACGGGCGGCGAGGGCGAGGCGGTCGAGGTCCAGGCTGAGGGTGGAAGTAGGAAGCGGGCGCGAGACGACGGTGGTGAGGGCGAGGACGAGGTTGATGACGAGCGGTTGGCCAAGGAGCGGCTGGCGTGCCTGGCGTATCTGGACGAGCAGCGACGTGCGCTCGAGGCCGACATCCGCGGTCGGACCGCGGCCGAGGTGGTGGTGGATGGTGAGCTCAAGCCGCACAGCCTCTTTACCTCGATGCTGGAGGAGATGGTGTTTGGTTTTGGCGACGTCTCGCAGCCGCTGTCGGCTACGGTCAACGCCGTTGAAGACATTGTCGTCGACTACATCCGCTCGATGACCCTTGCCGCGCTGCAAGTCGCCGAGCGTCGTGGCAAGCTCATGGCCGAGGACTTTCTCTTTCTCATCCGCAATGACGACAAAAAGTACGAGCGCGTTCGCGAGCTCCTCAACATGCGCGAGGTCATCAAGCGCGAGCGTGCCAACTTTGAGCAAGAGAAGACCATGCTCGAGCCGGCCACAAAGCGCCGCAAGCGATGATGGCTGCCGGCCAGGCCCGCCCACGTGGTGCCGGTCCCTGTCCACGCCCGCTGTGTCACGCCCCACTCCCTTCCCTCCACACGCCCCTCTCCCCACTCCCCACCTCCCACTCCCCACCCCAAGGATATATCGCCTGTCAGAAACAATGAACTCTGGCCAGCCTGTCAGCCGACGTTCTCTGAAGCAGTGGCTCGTGTGGTAGCAGCCGTAAAGCCGACGGATCGGCGACAGCGGTAGGAGTGACGAGCCGTCTTTGCACACCGCCACCACCGCCACCACCGCCACCACCGCCACCACCACCACCCCCCCCCTTCTTTCCACCCCACCTCACTCCCACCCCACTCCGCCACACAACCATGGAAGGCACATGGGGTGTCCGCTCTCCGTGCGGCCTCCACCCGCAGCCGCCGCTGTACACCCTCGGCGCCGCCACCCGGTCGTCACCGCGTCCGCCAACCCGCCGTGGGCCGCTTGACACGCAGGCTGGCCCAGACTCGCCGTCTGCACCTCGCGCCAAGGTCGATGTGGACGTGGATGGGTATGGTGATGGCGCTGGTGCTGGCGCTGGCGTGGAAGCGGTCGACGAGCATGCTGGTCCGTCGGTGCGGTACGGGCCCGGGCGCGGACAGCCGCTGCGGCGGTACGTACCGCGGGCCACACCGGCACAGATGGTGGCGACGGCGGTGGCCGAGGAGCAGGCCAACGCGGCGGTGGACGAGGCGGCGCTGGTGGCATCGTCGCTCGAAGCTGCTGCCATCTCGGGCTTCTCATCGCAAGCCGAGCTGGCCGAGACCATCCGCAAACCATCGCGCCCGCTCCGCTCGCCGTACCAGCGCTCGGCCGTCCCGGTCACCACCAACGAGCAGTACGGCTGGGAGGAAGCCGATCGCCTCTCGGGCCTCTACGACGACACCTCGCGGTATCCGGTCCGCCGCTCCGACGAGTCCAAGTTCTTTGACCAGTTCTACGGCCACGGCTTCGGCGCCGTCCTCTGCACCCGGTAGTGAGCGATGCCGATGCCGGGCTTGCCGAAAAGCGGCGCGCCAGTAACATGCATGCAGGTCTAGACCCCCGGCTGCGCCGTAGCTTCATTCGCCCGAGGACAGTGCCGCACCATGGGTGCCATGACATCCGCTCACGGCAACACCCGTCGCCGAATGGCTGACACCGGACAAGTCCGTCGCATACCTCGTCGGGCCAACCGGCCCGACCCTGCCGACTACCGCTTCCGCGGTCTCACCGACACGGTCGCTGTCAAGCCTCCGGGCAGCATCAACGGCGAGCAGTTTATCATCGATACCTGCAGTGTATGCGACGCACAGAGGGGAGAAGGGGGGGAGAGGGGGGGGGGGGGGGGGGACCGAACGCTTGGCGCCAACCGGCGACGGCGGAGACTCACTCGGAGCGGACGAGGGGGATGGTGGGCATGCGGGCCAACGGGTGCAGGGATGCGAGCTGTATGTTCTGGACCACACGGCGACGGTGTCTATCGACGAGTGCACTGACTGTCGCATTGTGCTGGGCCCGTGTGCGTCGTCGGTCTTTGTCCGCTCCTGCGCCCGCGTCGTCGTCGTCGTCGCCTGTCAGCAGTTCCGTCTCCGCGACACGACGGCATCGACCATTGCGCTGCATGCAGGGACCAAGCCCATCATCGAGGACGCCAAGGCCATCAGTCTTGCGCCGTACCCGCTGGCGTATCCAGGCATCGACGCTCACTTTGCCGCTGCCGGTCTTGTTCCGGCCAACTCGGTCTGGGCCGACATCTACGACTTTACTGCCGTCGAAGCCCACAAGGCCGGTGCCTCGTCGGCGGCGGCGGCGTTCTCGTTTGTCCCGTGGGGCGCCGCGCTCGGCCGACTGTTTTCCCATCTCACCGGCGACGAGCTCGGCGAGCTCCTGGTCTCGCTTGATCCGGCAACCGGCGTCGTCCCGTGCACGCTCGGGCGGGAGCCTGATGCAGCAAGCGCCCACGCCTTTGTCGGGCTGTCCGGGCCGGCTGCGGCGCCGCTGGCGGTTGCCGCCTGTCTGGCAAAAGTGTGGGAGGCCGCGCAGGCTGTGGCAGGCGCGCCTTCTCTCGAGAGTCTCCCGTTCGTCCTGGTCAAGTCCGCCGCCACGCCCGCCCTCGACGCAGCGCTCGCCGACACCATGTTTGCGCCGGTGGCGTCGGTGGCGTCCACGGTTGCTGCCCGCCTCGCAAACAAGCCGTTTATTGGCCTGTGGTTTGCGGCGCTCCCCGAGAGGTGGCCAGGCGAGGGCAGCGGCCCAAGCGACGGCCCACCGCCACGCTCGCTGGCGGCGCTGCTGCGGTCTGCTGTTGCGTCGTGGGCAGCGGCAGGTCTCGAGCCAAGCCCCGACGCGCGCTTTGCCGCGTACGTTGCGCCGGACTCGGCTGCGGCGAGCGAAGCGGCGCAGGCGTTCTTCGCCGAAGCTGCCGACGCATGGCAGGGAAACGCGCTATGACGGGACAGCGGCTCAGACCGAAGACTCGGCGGCGCCGGCGCCGGCGTCAGCGCCAGAAGCACCAGAGTCAGAGGCATCGGCCGACGCCGCGGCGGCGGCCACGGACGCGGTCCGTTCCTCAAGACGAGCGACAAGTTCGACGAGCTCTGCGCGCTTGGGCGAGTCTTCGAAGAATCGCTCCGAGCGCGCCACCACCGAGTTGAGGAGGAGGAGGATGGACGGGCGGAGGGTGGCAAAGGCAGCGGACACAGAGGTGTCGCCGGCGCCGACAGCGACCGCCTCGATGTCGTCGAGCTCAGTGGCGAGCGCGAGCGACGAGTCGGCAACACCCTCGAACAGCGAGGCCTCCTGCTCCCAGTTGGGCTTGCGGGCTGCGCGGGCGCGCTTGAGGACCGACTCAACGATGCTGAGTGCCGGCGCGCCCTTGATCTTGAGCAGCTGCGCATGCGCGTCCCACACCTCGGGATTGGTCGTGATGCGCGCCGTGATAAAGTCGAACAAGTTGGTCAAGGTCGACTCGAAACGGACGGCCTTGCGCTCGAGGGCCTTGGCGTCGGGCGAGGTGTCGCTCGGGTCGAGCTCGCGGACGGCCTTGAGAAGGTTGTTGAGGTGAGTGACGAGGGCGTAGAGGACGCGAGGATCGGCGTCGTTCTCCTGGGCCTGGGCGTTGTTGTACTGGATCTTGTTGCGGAGAGCCTGCATGGCCTGCTCTAGCTCGCCGAGCTGCATGCAGATGTACAGAAAGTTCTCCCACATGCGCCAGGCCTCGCGCTTAAACTTGAGCGCCTGCTCCATAGCGTGGAAGGCCTTGCGTGGCTCGTTGGCTCGCTGGTAGACGCCCGAGAGGTTGGCCCAGCCCTCACCGTGGGTCGGGTCGAGCTGGACAACGCGCGAAAAGGCGCGCGAGCCAACCTCCCATGCCTGCGCAAACATCGACGCCATGCCCATGGAGAACCAGATCTCGGGGAAAATGGGGTTGATGGCGAGCGCAAGCTCAAAGTGCTCGATGGCACCGGCGTAGTCCTTGGCCTGGAAGGCGAGCTTGCCCCATGCGCGCTGGGCGCGCGGGAAGCGACCGCCCGACTCGCGCCACGCGCGCTCGTAGTACACCGGGTCGCGCATAAGGTCGCCGAGCAGGGCCCAGAGCCGCGGCGACGGGTCGATGTCGAGCCGAGCCCGGACAAGCCGCTCGGCACGCGAGGTGGCGCGGACCGAGAGATAGCACGTGACGATGTCCTCCCACGCCTCCATTGGCTCATAGCAGTCGAGCGCGGCGCGCGGCAGGCCGTGGTCCATGTACAGCGAGCCGAGCTCGGAGAGAAGCTTCCACCACGGCGGGAGCGGAAGAGCAAACAGGTATGCCATCCGCTCGGCGGGAGCGGGACCAACCTGCAGGATGGCCGGGTCGACGCCGGTTGGCCGCTCCGCCGACGGCACGTCAGCAAAGCGGAGCTCGACCAGCCGCTGGAACTGCTTGCACGCCCGCTCGATGGTCCGCTTCCCGCGCATCTCGACCCGCGACTTGAGGAGGAGCCCTGCGGCGCGCATCGCCCACGACGCCTGCGTGCTGCCGTTGTCGAGCGCGCGCCGCGCAAACGGTCGCACTTGCTCGTCGGTCAGCTCCGAGACCGGATGGGTGGCGCGGATGAGCTCGGCGAGCGCAAGGAGGATGGCCGCGTCGTCGAGTGAGACCGCAGGCTCGTCGATCGGTGTCTCAAACGTGAGCTCCTCGAGGAGGACAGGCGAGTCGTTCGGGACGATGAAAGGGAGCTCGTGTGGGAGCTCGGTGTAGTCGGCGCCGGCAATGGGGGGGAGCGAGCCCTGCGCTGAAACGTAAAGATGGGTGGTGGTGAACTTCTGGAACTTGGTCCGCTTGCCCTTGGCACCGCGGAGCGCGATGACCAGGCCCGACAGCGCTTGGGCATGGAGCAGGTACGCTTGCATCAGGTCGGTGCGGTCGTAGTCGAGCGCGCCGTACGCGGCCTCGAGGGTGAGCCGCACACCGAGGCGGATGCGCGAGACCGGAACGTCCGGCCCGCCCAGCTCGCTGACGGCGGCAAACGAGGCGAGGACTCCGACGCCCTGCTCGACCACGATCGAGTAGAGCGTGTGCGAGCGGGCAAGAAGAGTCGACTGCCGCGCTCGCGCAACACGCGCGCGCCACACCACCGCCGACGGCACCGCACCCGCCAGCGCGTCGTACACCTTCGGCGCGTCAATAAAGATGAGCGAGGCGACCACAAGGTACCATGGGTAGTAGCACTTGTCAAACGCATCCTCGCCATCCAGGCCGAGCAGGCGGATGGCGGCGCGGTGCCACTCATCGTTGTAGTACGCGTAGTTGAGTCGCTTGACCGAAGTCGGCATGAACGGCACAGCGCCGGCGTCCTCGCGTGCCGACTCGCCGTCGGCCGCTTCGCCAGCATCATCGCCATCAGCCTCGTCAGCCTCGTTAGCCTCGTTAGCCTCGTCGGACTCGTCGGCCTCGGCCTTTCCGGCAGCAGCCTCTGAGATCTCAGTCGGCGCGGTTTGCTCCTCGGCAGCGGCCGTGGCCGAAACGACCACGCCTGCCGGGAGGGCGACGGGATCGAGGACGGTCGGCGCAGCGGGCGGGGCGACGAGCGGGAGGCGGCGGGTGGCATCGAGATGCGGCGGCGGGCCAGTCCAGTTGGCCTGGACAAAGAGCGTGAGCGCGGCAACGCCAAGAGCAAGCACGTCTGTGGCACCGCGCGTAGAGCCAGCGGCTGCGGCGACAAGGCGGTCGGCGAGAGCGGCGACAACCGCGTCAGCCGAGTCCGGAGAAGCGTCTGGAGCCACGGTGAGCACGTCCTGGGCAAATGCTGAAGACAGGACGTCGAGCGGAGCCAAGCAAGGCTCTGGCACCGGCAGATCTACTGCAGGAGCGTCGGCAGCAGGAGTAGGAGCGGGAGCAGACGAGGCGTCGGCGGCGGGCAGAGGATCCAGGTCGCCATCCCGGGGCAGAGAACGGGCCAGGGCATGGGAGGCATCCACCAGCAGCATGGACTGCTCTAGAGGCTCGAGGACGTCCCAGGAGGTGATGGCTTTACCGGCGACGTCCAGCGGCTCGGCACCCAGCATGGGGGAAATCGAGGTCGCAGGCGAGGTTGTTGCCATGGCAAAGGGAAGGGAAGTAGGATGTCCCAAAGATGGAGGGAGACGGGTGGGGGTAGGTGGGAGAGGGGGGGCGGGGGGGGGGGAGGGTTGAAGGAGGGGCACGATTGCGATGGCGGGTGGCATCATGGCGTGGGTCGTGGGGTGGGCGAATAGGGAAGGGAGGGGAGGGATCGGATCGGGTGCTGTGGTGGCTGGCAAGGGGGGGGGGGAGGGGGGTTGATCGGGAGCTGGTGGTGGTGTGGCCAAGCGGTGGCGCCTCGGTCACACCGGCTCGGCGACAGCTATAGACACAGCCACAGACACAGACACAGACAAAGACAAAGACAAAGCCACAGACGCCTCTCGAGAAAGAGACAATGGCTGACCCAGGGACCAAGCTCCGGTATCTGGAGAAGAAGCGGGCGGCCGAGGCGGCGCGGGTGGCCGAGGAGCGCCAGACGGTGGCGGCCAAGGTGGCCAAGGCAACAGCCGTGGCCATGGCTGCCAAGTTCACCGCCGGTGGCACCGATGCCGCCGGCAACAAAGGAGGCGACGATGGCGCTCCGGCAAAGGCATACGGTTTGCTCACCGCAGACGAGCTGCGCAAGGAGCGCGAGGCCGCTGAGGCCGCGGCCGCCCGCAAGCGCAAGGCCGGCGAGCCGGCGGCCGGCGAGCCCAAGAAAAAGAAGAAGCGCAGGAGGAAGAAGGCCGCGGCTGGCGGCGCACCATCTGGACCTCCGGCGAGCTCGGTGTTGCTCTCTTTTGCCGGCGGTGACGATGATGACGGCGACGACGATGGGCCAGCAGTGGTGATGGCGGCATCTGTATCTGTCGCGCCGCCGCCGTCGACGGCGGCGGCGGCGAGCGCAAGCAGTGAGGCGGGCGCAGTGCGGCCCAAGATCCGCAAGAATCCAAACGTCAACACCGAGTTTCTGCCCGACGCCGAGCGCGACGCAGCCGAACAGGTCGAGCGCGAACGGATCGCCAAAGAGTGGCTTGCGGAGCAGGACAAGGTGAAGAAGGAGAAGATCTCGATTGTGTACTCGTACTGGGACGGCGCCGGCCATCGTCGCGAGGTGACGGTGACCAAGGGCACGACCATCCGCAAGTTCCTCACCCTTGTGCGCAACAACTTTGACGCGCTCAAGCTCGCATCACCAGACCAGCTGCTGTACATCAAGGAGGATGTCATCATTCCGCACCACTACACCTTCTACGACCTCATTGCTACGCAGGCGCGCGGCAAGTCGGGTCCGCTTTTCCAGTTTGACGTCCACGACGATGTGCGGCTTGTCCTCGACGCTCGGGTGGAGAAGGACGAGTCCCACGCCGGCAAGGTTGTGCTCCGCCGGTGGTACGACGCCAACAAGCACACATTTCCGGCCTCGCGGTGGGAGGTCTACGATCCGAAGAAGAACTACGGACGGTACACCATCCGCGGCAACCACTGACGGAAGGAAGATTACAGCCCGCGGATTTATGCGCCGTTTCCGAGCGGCGTGTCCGAGACAAAGGTAAAGCCGGCAAAGTTGGACTGCTCGGCTGACGAGATGGCCGACGGCTGGGCCGGCGTGAGCATAGCGGGCTCCTGGGTGAAGCACGGGTCAAAGTGCGAGGTGTCGGTATCCGAGGTGAGCTCGGGCTTGAACGGCGGGGTCAACTGCTTGGCCTCGAGTGCGTCAAAGTCGATGTCGTCAAAGAACGGATGAGCCTTGATCTCTTCGGCGTCGCCCGGGCCCGAGCCGAGCCGCGTCTTGGGGTTGCGGTCAAGAAGGTGCTCGAGCAGGTCGCGCGCCTGCTCCGAGAGCGAGCGCGGGTAGTAGATGTCTGCCTCGAGAATCTGAATAAAGACCTGCTCCGGGTCCGAAGCCGAGAACGGCGAGCGGCCCGAGAGCATCTCATAGATAACGACGCCGGCAGACCACCAGTCGACCGAGGTGCCGTACGACGCGTCTTCGACAACCTCGGGCGCCAGGTACTCGGGCGTGCCGCAAAAGGTCGACGTGGTCACCCCATACGAGATGCCCTCCTTGACAAGGCCAAAGTCGGTGATGAGGATGTGCCCGTCCTCGTCGAGGAGCAGGTTCTCGAGCTTGAGGTCGCGGTAGACAATGCCCTTGCGGTGGAGGTATCCTAGCGCGCATACAATTTCGGCCGCGTAGAACTTTGCCCGCTCCTCGGAAAACTTGCCCGAGCGCTGCATGTGGTAGAAGAGCTCGCCGCCGCGGACATAGTCCATGACAAAGTACAGGCGGTCGTCGGTCTGGAACGAGTAGTACATACGGACCAGGAACGGGTGATCCATGGTCGAGAGGACTCGGCGCTCGGCCTGGGTGTGCTCGACCTCCTCGTGCTCGAGCACGACGTCCTTCTTGAGGATCTTGATGGCGTACAACTGCTCCTCGCCACGCTTGCGCGCGAGCATGACCTTGCCGAACGAGCCCTTGCCCAGGAGCTGGAGCAGCTCAAAGTCCTTGATGGTCACCTTGGACGCCGCAGAGTCGTCGGCGGCGTCGGCCTCCGAGGCCGCCACCGCCGCGCCGGAGCCCTTGGACGATGCTGCAGGCACCGCCGTCCCGTCCTCGGCTTCAGTCACCGTGTACGCCTGGAGATAGTAGTAGTTGATCCACTCTTGCACAGCCTCCATCCACGAGTTCATCTCCTGCTCCGAGCCGGCAATGCAAAAGTGCTCCGTCCCGTCGCGCGTGGTGATCTGGAACGAGAACTTTTTCTTGATCTTGGCCGGCGCCACCTGCACTGTCGCCCCCTTGAGCGGAATGCATCCTGCAGGCGTTGTGTCCTTGTGCGACCGAAAGTAGAGCGCAAGGCCATTGGCCATCCGGTAGAACCGCCGCTTGTAGTTCTTGACAAAGTGTCCGCGCTTGACCAGATACCCTTCCTTCAGCGGCGGCGCCTTGATGTTGACTGGCCTCAGCACCAGCTTGCACTCGGCCGCCAAATCTGCCGGCCATCCCTTTTGCACCACCAGTGGCTTTTCATCTATGCCCAGCTTGCGGACTGTAGCGGGGATGATAGGTAGTGTGTCATGGGGGGAGTGAGACGACGGCCGTGGGTGGGGGGGAGGGGGGAAAAACCAAGAACACACACATACACACACACACACATACGGGTGGTGATGGAAAGGGGAGGGGGGGGGGGGGGGAGGAGGTCACAGGAGAGGGGAGGGGGGAGGACGAGGAAGGCGGTGGAGGTAAGGGGGCAGGGGAAGGGCGGGGAAGGCGGTAGGGGGAGGGTGGTCCTTTGGGCTGTGGGCTGGGGA